CAAAATGTATTCCGTTATCTTTTTAGTTTTTTTTAAAAAAATAACCCAAATTAGTTTTTTAACCAAAAATTATAATTTTAAATTTTTTTTTTTATTTTTTTTTTTTTTTTTATTATTATTTTTTTTTTTTTTTTTTTAATTTTACTGTCACCCTAGCAGTACCATGGTGACACTGTACTACTTGTGGGGGGTGATGAAGATTTTTTTTTTTTTTTTTGATTTGCTTTTACACCCGTAAAGGCTGTAAAAGCAATAATTCCTCCTTCTCTCTGGCTGCATTCTTGCAGCCATTAAGAAATACTGTGTGAGCTGTGATTGGTCACAGCTTGTCACATGGTACCAGGCTGTTGTGAATAGCCTTGTACCATGTGACCTCTGTGATCATTCACAGATTTCACACGTAGTAAGCAATGATGTCAGAAGTGACATCTTGCTTACTACTCTGCACGTGATCACTGATTGGCCAATCAGTGATCACATGATCGGGACCTCGCACAGAGGTCCCGTCCGACAATCGGTGTTCTACTGTGTCCGTAGGACACAGCGGGCACGGGATCGCGGTGCTGTGCGCTCCCAGGGAGCGCGCACAGCTTGAAAATGTGGGTGCCGTTTTATGAACAACAATCCGCCCCTGCACTGCCACCATCCCGACGTTTATACACAGCGGCCGGACGGCACTAAAGCTGGCCATACACGTATAGATTTTTGGACGAGAATATTCGTACGAAAATTCTTTGAACATTCGGCGAATGGACGAATGTTGTTGGAAAATTGTCTTTTGCTTATAACATTCGAGTTTAAAGCGAATGTCATTTCTGAACGATAATTTTTTTTTTTTTTTTTTTTTTTTTTTTTTTTTTTGATCGGGAAAAGTTTTTTTTCCCGCCCCTTCGAATTTTCCCGTCACTGCGGTTTTTTTTTTTTTTTTTTTTTGATCTGACCCCACTAACGATTAGAAAATCAAACGAAAATTCTTGAACGAAAATCTATATGTGTATGGCCAGCTTTAGACTGGCCATACATTATACAATTTTTTTTTTAGAATTTTTTTTTTGATTTACCAAAAACCATATAATATGAGCTCAAACCTAAACAACACTTTCAATTTTATCCAATCAGGCAGGCCCTTGCACTACATAGCTGAAGGTAAATCTAAAGGAAATTGGACAGAAATTGTAAGAAAATTGTATAGTGTATGGCCAGCCTTAGACCTTCTCCAAAGGTCCCCCAAAATACATAGCAAACCCCTAGGGGTCTTCTCTACCCCCTTAGGAGCTGCTGAAGATTTGGATCCCCCTATAGCCCTGCACAGCCAGGCAACATGCATTTCCTTCCAGCCTTGAACTCCAGGGACAATAAACAGTCCTTGAACTTTTTTTGATTTTATTAGGGGACTTGAACTCGGATGGTGATGAGGGACACATGGGATGCCCAAGGAACTGTTTAACTGAGGACAACTTCCTGAAACTATATACGAGTGCTCAGAAGGGTTCTCTTCTTTGGAGATCTCTCCAGCCTCTCCTGGACAAGGGGATCTAGAGTGACACTTTAAAAAGTCCAGTCCAGCTGGGGCAAGGTAAGGATTTCCCACCCAAATTTCTCCCCTACTCCCGTCCAGAGGGGTAGAAGTACTCACTGTCCCTCTTCTGTAGGCTGTAGGTTGGTCGCTTCAGGCCTTCTGCTGGGCTGGCTCCTTCCATAGCTCCATAGATGGTCCTCTCTCAGGGGGCCAGGGAGGTCCAGCTTTCCTCCTTTCAAGCTCCTCTCTGGAGGCAGGCCCCTTCCCTGGGGCTCCAGCTCCTTCACCCAAACTCCCTTCCTGCTACTGAGCAGGCTCAACTGAACCTAAAGGCTGCCCCAACCCTTGCCAAGCCTCCTGCTTGGGGATTGGTTGAGCTCCTGTAGGCATACAGGCCAGCCATTCCTCACCCCCATCCACTGAGTCCTAGAGACTTCTCAAAGTCTCTAGATCAGGGGGAAGTACCAGAGAGCTGATCTGCAGAACCTCTCAGCCCTGACCTAAATCTGACCCTCTGTCTATTGCACCCGGCTAGCTCCCCCTAGCTTACCTAGGAGGGTACTACATCCCTTTTACTTTTAGCTCAAAGATACTTTATATTCCTTTCTTTCTGCATCCCCCTCCCCTGATTGTGTTCTGTGGATTGTTCCTCCCCACTCTCTCTGACACGCAGGTACAGAGAGCCTTGTGCCTCCTTGTTCCTCCGCGCTGTATGAGATGGAGGTACAATGAGCCTCAAGTCTAATCACCCCACCCAGCCCCCAACAGTGTGTTGTGTGGAATAATATGCATAATATTATTTTTTTATAATAATAATAATAATTAATATAAATGATGTATTATTATTTATTTCAATAAATGAATATTGATATTAATATTTATTATTAATTTTTAAATAATAATAATTATAATAATATATTTATAATTATATGGAAAAGTTATAATACTTTTTTTTAAAATTGGTTCTTAATAGCACCATTATTATAATGTATTATTAATTATAATAATAATAATACTACATAATAATAAATATTATTAATAGCTATGTGAATTGTTAATTTATTTTTTTATTAGTATTATTTATTATTAAGATGTATTATTATTACTAGTATTATTTATTATTATTATTATACAGTATTTATAAAGCGCCAATAGTTCGCTCAGCGCTGTACATTACAAAGGGGGACAGAACATGTGACAGAACAATACCAATACAATGCAAAACATGAGGGGATCGAGGGTCCTGCTCTTTGGAGCTTACAATCTAGGAGGGAGGGGATGGTGGTACAGGAGGAGATAGCTGTGGGGGATGGAGTGGTAGGAAGAGTGGAGGAGGTCGGCAAGTTTTTTTTGGGGTAGGCTTCCCTGAAGAGATGGGTTTTCAGGGTGCGCCTAAAGGAGAGGAGAGTAGGTGATAATCTGATGGGTTGGGGCAGGGAGTTCCAGAGGATGGGTGACACCCTGGAGAAGTCCTGGAGGCGGGCATGGGAGGAGGAGACCAGGGAACTAGAGAGAAGGACGTCTTGTGAGGCGAGCGGAGTGTGCATGCTTTTTTACTTGGATATTAGGTCGGTGATGTAGTTTGGGGCAGTATGGTGGACAGCTTTGTACGTCAGTGTTAGGATTTTTTTTTTTTGATTTTTTTTGCGCAATCGGAAGCCAGTTTTTTTTTTTTTTGCAGAGGGGGGTGGCGGAGATGGAGCGGTTGGAAAGGTGAATGAGTCTTTTTTTTATTCAGGATCGACTGAAGCGGGGATAGCCAGCGGCGAGGCAGGCCAGTTTTTTAGGGAGTTTTTTAGTCGAGTCGTGATATGATTTTTTTAGTGGATGAGCTGTTTTAGTGGTTTCTTTTTTTTAGGAACGTTTTTTTGGCGATGTTGCGGAGGTGGAGTCTGCATGAGTTTTTTAAAGATTGGACTTGGGGCTGGAAGGATAGGTTGGAGTCCAGAATGACACCAAGTACTTGGCCTGTTTTTTTGTGATTTTGGCGTTGTTGGACATGATTTTTTTCAATGGGGGGTGGTGTCCGGGCTGGGGGGGAAACAAGAAACTCGGTTTTTTTTTTTTTCAGTTTAAAGGAAGTGGAGCGACATCCAGTCTGATATGTCGCTCAGTAGGTGTGTGATTCGGGCAGAGACTGAGGGGGTGAGGTGGGGGGTCGAGGATAGATTTTTTTTTTTTTTTTTTTTTTTTTTTTTTTTGAAGCCGTGATTTTGTATGAGTTTTTTTTTTTTTTTTTTTTTTTTTTTTTTTTTTTTTTTTTTTTTTCAGAGCCTTGAGGGACCCCAACAGAGAGGGGAGTGAGGGGGAGGTTTAGCATTATAGGTAACACTTTTTTTTTTTGTGACAGGTAGGATGAGAGCCAGGAGAGAGCAGAATCTCTGAGGCCGAGGGAGTTTTTTTTTTTGAGGAGGAGGGGGTGGTCGACTGTGTCAAAGGCTGCAGAGAGGTCAAGGAGTAGGAGCACTGAATAGTGGCCATTAGCTTTGGCGGTTTTTTTAGGTCGTTTTTTTTTGAGTAAGGCAGTTTTTATTGGAGTGTAGGGGACAGAAGCCAGACTGTAGGGGATCGAGGAGGTTTATTTTGTTTCGTTGAGGTGAGAGCATAGGCGGGTGTAGACGAGGCGCTCGAGGAGTTTAGATGTAAGTGGGAGCAGGGAGATGGGTCTGAGGTTGTTTTTTTTCATTGGGGTCCAGGGAGGGCTTTTTAAGTATGGGGGTAATGTGTGCATGTTTCAGAGGGGAGGGGAAAGTGCCTGAGGAGAGGGAGAGATTGAAGATGTGGGTGAGGGAGCGTAGGATGGAGGGGGAAGGAGGTCGAAGGAGTTGTGAGGGGATAGGGTTTTTTTTTTTTTGGTGAGGCGGGCATCAGAGAGGATCTTGGAGACTTCCTTTTGGTAGTTTTTTTCAAAGGTTTTTTTTTGTTATTAATATTATTATTTTTTTATTTTTTGTATTATTATTAATATTATTTTTTGTTATTTTTTTATTATTTTTAACGAATTTTTTTTTTACATTTTTAATAATGCTAATTTACCAAACAATATTTTATTTTAGCATTATTACTTTTTATTTTTATTTTTTATTATGTATAATTATTATTATTATAATATTTATTATTAATTTAATTTCTTTATTATTATCGTATTTACGATAATAATAATGATTCTTTTTTGTACATAATATTAAATAATTATTATAATTATTATGCATTTTTAGTAATAATAATATTAATAATAATAATAATAATAATAAATCGTTCATTTTTTTTTATTTTTTTTTATTTTAAATATGTATATTTATTTAAATAAATAATAAATAACAATAATTATTATAATAAGTAATATTTTTGGTTATTATCACCATTATTATTATTTTGTATTTTTAAATAATAATAATAGAATTAATAGGCCCGCCTCTAAGGCAGTAGCGCTTCATGATTGGCTATTAGTGAAAGCGTGGCCCTCCTGTCAGGCTGTAGCTGTGTGTTGGGATTGGTCCTCTCCGCTGTCCGTCCTCACGCTGTGTGGGGAAGATGAAGCCACCGCGGAAGAAGCATGGTGAGCCCTGGGTGCTCTGTATACACTGTGACCGGCGGGGTGCTGGGGCTTGTAGTCCTGTGGGGGGGACCCAGGGAGCCAATACAGAGGATAGTTTCCGCCTCCTCCACACTGCAACCAATCATCTGTGTGCTTGCATCTGTCGTCTCAGCAGGCTACATCTGATTGGCTGCTCCCAGTGTCTAAGACCCCGCCTCCTACTACTGACAGTATGTTTACATGATCAGTGATATGAAGGTCCAGGGGGCCTCACACCCCATCATTCCCGCTGACGGGGAGGTCCAGAGGGCCTCACCCCATCATTCCCCCTGACGGGGAGGTCCAGAGGGCCTCACACCTCATCATTCCTCCTGACGGGGAGGTCCAGGGGGCTTCACACCCCATCATTCCCGCTGACGGGGAGGTCCAGCGGGCCTCACACCCCATCATTCCTCCTGACGGGGAGGTCCAGGGGTCCTCACACACCCCATCATTCCCGCTGACAGGGAGGTCCAGAGGGCCTCACACCCCATCATTCCCGCTGACGGGGAGGTCCAGAGGGCCTCACACCCCATCATTCCCGCTGACGGGGAGGTCCAGAGGGCCTCACACCCCATCATTCCCGCTGACGGGGAGGTCCAGAGGGTCCTCACACCCCATCATTCCCGCTGACGGGGAGGTCCAGAGGGCCTCACACCCCATCATCATTCCTCGCTGACGGGGAGGTCCAGAGGGCCTCGCACCCCATCATTCCTCCTGACGGGGAGGTCCAGAGGGCCTCACACCCCATCATTCCTCCTGACGGGGAGGTCCAGAGGGCCTCACACCCCATCATTCCTCCTGACGGGGAGGTCCAGAGGGCCTCACACCCCATCATTCCTCCTGACGGGGAGGTCCAGAGGGCCTCACACACCCCATCATTCCTCCTGACGGGGAGGTCCAGGGGTCCTCACACCCCATCATTCCTGCTGACGGGGAGGTCCAGAGGGCCTCACACCCCATCATTCCTGCTGACGGGAGGTCCAGAGGGCCTCACACCCCATCATTCCTCCTGACGGGGAGGTCCAGGGGGCCTCACACCCCATCATTCCTCCTGACGGGGAGGTCCAGGGGGCCTCACACCCCATCATTCCTCCTGACGGGGAGGTCCAGGGGGCCTCACACCCCATCATTCCTCCTGACGGGGAGGTCCAGGTGGCCTCACACCCCATCATTCCTCCTGACGGGGAGGTCCAGGTGGCCTCACACCCCATCATTCCCTCCTGACGGGGAGGTCCAGGTGGCCTCAGACCCCCCATCATTCTACCTGAACGGGAGAGTCCAGGTGGCCTCACACCCCATCATTCCTCCTGAAGGGGAGGGTCCAGGTGGCCTCAGACCCCATCAATCTACCTGAAGGGGAGGTCCAGGTGGCCTCACACCCCCATCAATCTACCTGAAGGGGAGGTCCAGAGGGCCTCACACCCCATCATTCTACCTGAAGGGGAGGTCCAGAGGGCCTCACACCCCATCATTCTACCTGAAGGGGAGGTCCAGGGGGCCTCACACCCCATCATTCTACCTGAAGGGGAGGTCCAGGGGGCCTCACACCTCATCGTTTCCTCCTGACGGGGAGGTCCAGGGGGCCTCACAACCCATCGTTTCCCCTGTTGTGGAGGTCCAGGGGGCCTCACACCCATCATTCCTCACCACTGGTATACACAGAGACACCGAGCACTTCCTGCCTCATTGTTTCAGCTGTCTAGGACGGTGGTCTTGGTGCCTCATCGCTGTCGCTCTCTGAAATGGGCGGAGATCTCATACCTGACCGTTCTCAGTTGTCACCTTAATAGGATAACGTTTCTTTTCGGTGTAGATTGGGAGAGAAGATAGGAGGTTAGAGCCCCTGTTGGGTGTTTGGTTTTGGTATCCCCATTGTGGATATTCGCCCTTCTTTGTCCTGGTGTCACCACTGTTGTTGGGCTTAGAGCTCATTTATGCCCAACCCATGACAAGCCATTACCTCACTGCCACCCCATTGGTGGTAAAATGTGTGGGGACACGTCGACATACACTGCGCTGCACTGCTGAAAATGCTGCATGTCTGATTTTTGGAGCGTTGTAGTCATTGGGGAGACCAACCGAACGAACAGCCAGGATGCCCGTTGTCTATGGTGGTTGTGCCGTATTGCTCTCAGCTCAGCCTCCATCTTCTCTCCATTGTCCATTAGTGGCGGTGGCCTTATCCTCTTAGCTTGCCTCCACCCCTTCTCCAGTGTTTCTGATTTATAATATTGGTCATCTTCTGTTCATTGTCTCCTTCTAGTGGCGATCTTCTCTCTGTTGTCCCTGATTAATATTGGTGGCCTCTTCCTTCCTGCTCGGAACTCCATCTCCTCTCCATTGCCTGTGATGTGTGGTAGTGACCAGTTTCCCTCATCCTGGACCTTTATCTCTCTCCACTGTCCCTGTTTGGTAGTGACGGACTCTTTCACTCATCTTGGGCCTCCATCTTCTCTCCATTGTCCCTGGTTAGTGGTGGTGGCCTCTTCCTCTCATCTTGGGCCTCCATCTTCTCTCTATTGTCCCTGGCTAGTGGTGATGGCGGCCTCTTCCTCTCAACTTGGGCCTCCATGTTCTCCCCATTGTCCCTGGCTACTGGCGATGGCCTCTTCCTCTCATTTTGGGCCTCCATCTTCTTTCTCTCAATTCAGCTTCCATCTTCTCTCTGATTAATATTGTTGACCTCTTCCTTTTTGCTTGGAACTCCATCTCTTCTCCAATGTCACTGATTCGTGGTAGTGACCTGCTTCCCTCCTCCTGGACCTTCATCTTCTCTCCATTATCCCTGGCTAAAGGTGATGGCCTCTTTCTCTCTGCTTGAGTCTACGTTGTTTCTGTTTATTTGTGGTATCATCTTTCCCTCAGCTTGGGCCTCCATCTCCTCTACATTGTCCCTGATTAATATTGGTGGCCTCTTCCTTCCTGCTTAGAACTCCATCTCCTCTCCATTGTCTCTGATTCGTGGCTAGTGGGCTGTTTCCCTCATCTGGACCTTCATTTTCTCTCCATTGTCCCTGGCTAGTGGTGGTGGCCGCTTCATCTCCGCTTGAGTCTCCATTGTCTCTGTTTATTTGTGGTGGCCTCTTTTCTCTCAGTTTGGGCCTTCACCTTCTCTCCATTGTTATTATTGGCCTCTTCCTCTTAGCCCGGGCCTCCCATTTCCTTTTCATTTGTCTTTGATTAGTATTGGTGGCCTCTTCCTCTTAGCCTTGGCCTCTTTCTCCCCTCCATTGTCTCCGATTAGTGGCGAATGACCCCCATTTCCTCCCTATTGTATTTGATGGCGGTTGTCCCTTTCTCTCAACTTGGGCCTTATCCCCTTTGTTGTGTTTTGATTGGTGGTGGCCTCTTCCTCCCAGCTAGGTCGGCCAACTTCTTTTCATTGTCTGATTAGTGATGGTGGCCTCTTCCTCCCCACTTGGGCCTCCATCACCTCTCCATTGTCCCTGATTAGTATTGGTGACCTGTTCCTCTCAGTTTGCGCGTCCATCTTCTCTCTGTTTTTGATTAGTGATGGTGGCTTCTTCCTCCCTGCTTGGGCCTCCATCTTCTCTCTGTTGTCCTTGATTTTTGGTGGTGGTGCTTCTTCCTCCCTGCTTGGTGCCTCCATCTGCTCTCTGTTGTCCCTGATTTGTATTGGTGACCTGTTCCTCTCAGTTTGGGCCTCCATTTTCTCTCTGTTGTTTTTGATTAGTAGTGGTGGCTTCTTCCTCCCTGCTTGGGCCTCCATCTCCTCTCCATTGTCCCTGATTAATATTGGTGGCCTCTTGCACCCTGCTCTGCTCTATTTGCCTCTGATTCATGTTAGTAGCCTGTTTCCCTCAGCCTGGACTTCCATCTTCTCTCCACTGTCTCTGATTTAGCATAGGTGACCACTTTCTCCTGTCCATGTCTCTAATTAATGGTGGTGGCCACTTCCTTTCAGCTTGGCTCTCCATCACATGGTTTGTCCTGTGGGTGTTCAGAACCACATGAGAACAACTGCCCTCTCTGTTGGTGGGTGCATTGGAGGTCTCATCTGTAGGTCCATGGCTGTGTTACTGTGTAGGACTGGCATCGTCTTATAATACCATCTCATTGAATTTCTTATGTCTTGCAGGGGAGCTCAGCAAGGCTGAGCTGATGATGAAGACCATCGCCGACATCATTAAACAGCTTGCAGAAGCTCATGAGCAAGGAAAAGATGTCAACCTAAACAAGTGAGTGCCACTTGGGGGGGGGGGGGTTTTGTCCGGAATGGGGATGTTTTGGTGGCTGGCGTATTTACCCAGGTTTCATTTACATACAGGGCGGTTAGGATTATCCTTGACACCACAATACCTTACTGCATGGATCTATGGCCAAGTTTCCTCAAAGACTTCCTAATAAAGGGTTTATTTTTCCTAAAATGACCCCGCTGCCATGGTGGTGCACTTTCTGCGTCACAACGTATACCTTTTGTGGCTGGGCGGCAACGGTTGCGCGGTGGGCTTCACAAGGCTAAAACAGGCAGTAAGAAAGCAACATGGCATCTCCCAGCTGCATGTCAAACACTCACAGTGGATCACTTTTTATAGGGTGACGCCAATGTAAACAAACCCCTGTTATCAAGTCACTTTTTTGATCTGATGTTCACATTTATAAAATCGCACTTCTGTGTATTTGTGGTTATGTTAAAGTATACAAATATGTGGATCAGCCAGTAGAGGGAGTGCTTGGTGGCTCAGTGTGATTACTATCTAAGGATCAGTGCACTTTGAAGCTCAACTATTAACGTGGAACTGGTGTGTGTGTGTTTTTTTTTTTTTTTTTTGTTTTGTTTTTTTTTTTTTTTTACTAAAACTGTATTTAAATCGGAAGTGATGTTAGGAATGTTTTAAAAACAAAAGGGGGTTTATGGTGACGTAAACGGTTAATATTTTTAGCACTGCGCTGTTTATATCTCCCTCCCTGCCTCTCTCCACCACCACCCCTCTGTCCAAGTATACCGCGTCGACCGTCGCCCCTCTGTCGAAGTATACCGCATCCACCGTCGCCCCTCTGTCGAAGTATACCGCCTCCACCGTCGCCCCTCTGTCCAAGTATACCGCGTCCACCGTCGCCCCTCTGTCCAAGTATACCGCGTCCACCGCCACCCCTCTGTCCAAGTATACCGCGTCCACCGCCACCCCTCTGTCCAAGTATACCACGTCCACCGCCGCCCCTCTGTCCAAGTATACCACGTCCACCGCCGCGCCCCTCTGTCCAAGTATACCACGTCCACCGCCGCCCCTTTGTCCCAGTATACCACGTCCACCCCCACCCCTCTGTCCAAATATGCCACATCCACCGTCACCCCTCTGTCCAAGGTTTTACTCACCTCCTCATTAAAAGAAATCAGATTTGTTTGACAACGTCTGTCTTTCATGAATCCATGCTGTCTATTGCTTAAAATATTTTTTTCCAGCTAGAACTCCTCTATGTGGTCTGTTATTAAACTCTCCAGTACAGGTTAGTTAATTTTAGGGCACAAAAAAAGCAATAAATTACCCTATTTTTTTGTAAAATATAGAAGATGAGGTAGCAGCGAGTAAATAGATTTCCAACATGTCAAACCTTAAATTTGTGAGTGCTCGTGAAATGGTGGCGAACTTCATTACCCTATATTTTCTATAGGTAATGCCTTTAAAGCCCCTTCTAGGTCATCAGTATAGCATTACAGAGGAGGTCTCCTGCTAGAATTATCGCTCTCGTTCTGGTGTGTGCGGCAATATGCAACATGTATTGCAATTGACATTTTCATGTGTAGGCGCCCCAGCATATACTTGTACGTTAGTCGTGCATATATGGGGGGGGGGGGGATGTGCTTGGGTGTAACTTTAAATTTTCACAGTTTAAAAAAAAATAATTTTTTTTTTCTACTTTTTAATTTTTTTTTTTTTTTTCATCACACGGGACAATGTTGAGAGATCACCTGAGAGAGCATCTCTATGACATTAAAATAGGTTTTAAGGAACATTCTCTCTAAGCATTTTAGGGATTATCACCAAAGGGACCTCTCCTGTTTGTTATTTATGGAAATTGATCTTGTGCGTCCCCATTGTAGGGGAAATAAACGCAGAGCAGTATCTAGATTGGAAACAAAGTGGATTCATGAAGTGGGTACTTTGGCCCCCTTAGGGCATAACGTTGATATAGACATTTATTGCTTTATCGATAATAGCTAGCCTTTCTGCCAATACTTATTATACCACCTCCTTATCTGAGTATAGTGGTGTTTGATATCCTTTCTTCTCCTCAACTCCTCCCTTTTTTTTTTTTTTTTGTATTTTTTTTGTTATAGAAGGCACTGACATTGGTGTCTATTTTTTCTGAGTATTTTTTTTCTTATGTCTAATGGACATTTAGTATACATGCATTTTTGTCCTTATCTGGTTTTTTTTTTTTTTAATCTCTGTGTGTGTGTGTGTGTGTGTGTGTGTGTCATGTATGTGCTATCTATCACATGTTAAGACCAGTTTTCACCACAGCCTTGTGTAATTAGATATCATAGAGCCGGGTGTCATTACTAGCGTGCTGTCATTATATGATTCATTACCCCTTTGAGTGTTTTATGCCCCCCTTTATAGTTTGCATATAATCATAGCCTTGTTCAGCTAGATATCATGCAGCCTGGTGTCATCACTAGCGTGCTGTCAGTATATTCTGGCCATATATAGGATTCAATACCCCTATGGGTATTCATGGCCCCCTAAGAGTTTGTACACAATTAGAGAGCTCTTTTTTTCAGGATCTTTGTCTTCCAGATCCTTTTTGTTTCACTCCTTGACGTGTGGAATTGCTATCCCACATTTACGTTAGCCTTGACTCAGTGGCATCTCTAGGGTTGGTGTCGCCCGGTGCGGTAACACTTGGTGACATCCCCTCCGAGGATCCCCTCACTCTCCCTTCTCTCTCTCTCTCTACCCTCTCCCCCCTACCTACTACATGAAGCTGCAGTGCTGTCACCAGGGTCCGGGGATTACAAATTGACCTGCTGTATACTCTGCCTGCCCCTCTAGCTCTCCGTCTTCAGCACCCGTGGCAGGGATGTGGACCCGCCCCTCTGCTGAAACTCCGAGGAGGAGAGGTGTCCAAAGTGCCTGCCTCACTGTCCATCCCCTCAATGCTTGCTTATTTGAGAGGCGGCACATACAGGGCAGACTGAGCCTCTTATGGGGCCCCGCAGTGACCCCGGGCCCTCGGGCAGTTCCTGAATGGTCAGTCCGCCCCTGGTGGAGCGGGTCCGGTGTCACCCTGTGGAAAAGGTGTCACCCGTGCGGCGCACACCCCCCACACCTGCCTAGGGACACCCCTGCCACGACTAGCTCTAAATGATGCTCTGTAGATCGTACATCAAGCCATCCTTCCAAGCTCCAGTTTAAGGCTGTTATGATTCTCTGGTCTACAGCAAAATGGCGCTTGCTCAAGTATATGCCTTCAACAAAATGGTGTCGGGTCTGTCACACGCCCTAGGCCTATAAGGCATCCACTGTCATAGCATCGGCACTCGGCAGATCCCTTTGAGAACATGCGTGTGCACGAAACGCGTCAGAGGGGGAACCTACGTACTCGTGTCATGCCGCCGTGTCCACGTGATGGTCTGGCAGCCATCTTTGTAAGTGTTTTTATTCATTGTTTGTGAGAAAGCTCAGAAGTGGTTGCTAGATTTTAAATATACATACTACATTATATGATTTTGTCTCCGGGCTCAGCTACATTGAGAATAATGTACATTAACCCTGTAAACCAATATATCAGGAGCTACGATTGTCACTGTACTACTTTCACCAATCCTCACTCTTTCGTGTACACCAAACATTAATCCACATACACAGTGTGATCATGACAGTATTTCAGACACGCCTGTCGGGAGTAAAATGTTTGTTTTTTTTTTAGTTTTCTTTTTCCCCCACAAGACCAATCCCTGGCTGTGGTTATTTTTTTCCCTCGAGTCACCATTACTGCGACTATTGAGTTCCCCTCGTCAGTCACCATTACTGCGACTGCGAGTTCCCGGCACCCTCTCTCAAATCAGGGTGTATCCTGTCCACTCCTGACGAGGAATATTTTGCCGTAATCCTCCCCTCCCTCACAGGCGCATCAGCAACAACCCAACCAATCACACTGGTACACACACAGACAACACAAAAGACAAGACATATCACACTGGTAGATGACGTTACACTGACAGGTGGGTTCAAAGGAGCACCGGGCAAGTATACCTGTCACTTTGCTGATCAACGGACAGCCAGACGGGTGAGTAGTCCCGCTGGGCAATTCCAGACTACGCAGGTAAGGAATTATTAGACATAAAAATTCACTTACCGCTTTCGGAGGTGATCAGTCTCCGCGTCTGGAATGCTCCACGGTCCCCCTCATCCACTCTGGGTCGGCTGATCCGGTGTTCAGAACCCGAGCCCCACGTTGGGCGCCAAATGTCTTGGACTAGGTCACTTACAGACCATTTACCGTGATCTACCAGTGAGCCAAATTAATATGAGAATACGTGGAAGTAAGACACTGACACTGTTGCAGTTTGCCAACTTCCTAAAATTCTGTTTTATTGAGGAAATAACAGTATCATTTATAGGGCTTATTATGCAGGCAAAGCATATACATTGATTGGGTGAAAAGTCCACTGGGTTTCTGCGTGTTCGTCCATCCGTGTTGATATCTTCCAATCATTGTCCCCAAAGAGACTCATTCCCTTTTATGGGGGTTGTTTACATTAAAAGATACTTTTCTCCTAATGAGTCACCAAGGGTGAGACTCCGGATGAAGGCACCATCTTAATTATCATCATTGTTCTGTCAACCTATATCTGATTGTTTACTTAAGAGAGTAAGGAATTTAAAGAGCAAGAAACAGATAGTAGCAAGACTATAAAATTGTCATTTTACTGATCATCTAATAAATCGTGGACTGTCAATCACAATCCACTACAGCACTCTAGGAGGAATCCTATCCCTGGATAGACCGTGGGCTGGAGACGGATATGGACCAAGTTTGCCCTTAAGTGTCAATCTGTTCCTTTTTTGGTTTGCTGCTGGCTTCTGGAGAGATCCCACCTCTGGATAGACCGCTGACTGGAGATTCAAATTGAGTTCCCCTTAAGGCCGGCCATACATTGGTCGAAAATCGGACCTAAGAATAATCGGACAATTTTCGCTCTGTTAGTAGGTCAATGGCCCCGGCCAAT